GTCTGACTAACTAACAGACAACGAAAACAACGTAGCTGTTAGAAAGTCTCAGTCAGCAGACGACACAAATAGAAAATATTACAAGTGCAGATATGAATATATAAAATCATCTATCAGTTACCAATATCTCAACCTGTGCTAGAAGAGTAGAAGCGCCTGGTGTTGATCACGATTTTCTCAATACGGCCCTCCTACGTGCTTACATTAATCAAGGTTTTTTGCATTGGATATTTAATTCTTGCGTCATATTACTTTATCTTGGGATATGTTGAATTTGAAAAATTTTCACTACATTAAAATTGGTATGTCAACTTGACAATAAATAATTTTAAGTGATTAAACATAATTATCACATTGGTCGTCACCGACAGAGAGAAAACAAATTAATTAACAACAACAGTAGCACTAACAAAGTGTTACATTTATATTATGGTCAGCAAATTAGTCAGTTCAAAGACTCACTTTAAGTCATATGATCCTTGTACTTTCTTGGTCTCCTGTTCTTATCATTATCATATGTTGTTTTCGTTCACCGGTTAAAACCCCGGTGGAAAGACTTGGTTGTTCGTCCAACTCTGGACCGTGGCTTTGTTCCAGGACCTGAGATCTGCATGTGCATCTGTTTCACCGAATTTGCTTATTTGTATGCACTTTGGGTCCTTGCCTCTCAGACAGATGCACTCCGACTCTGAAGGAAGCCCCCAATTAGTCGACTCTTACGACTTGCTTGTTGTGGAGACAGTAGTTCCAGCCCCCCCCCCCTCCCCACCCCCTCATTGGGACATCAGAACCCATATGGGGAATCATCGTCATTATGACCATCATCGTCATCATCATCAGGTTAGGCAAGTAAATGTGAAGGTCCCTTTTCCACGCTTTTAGGCGTATTGGGAATATAGGACTATAACTATATTTTAAGAGACCAATTGGCACTGGTGGGTGATTGGGTCAGTATCACGCCGGCAGCCTTTACTTCCCAGGACTTTACCTGGTACCCACTCAAGGCTGGGTTTACCTGCGAGTCAGGGTCATTTTTTTTAAAGTCCGGCTCCCTCAGGATGCGAACCCACGACTGCTGATTTGCAGGCGGGCGCCTAGCCGCCAACGCCATTTCGACCCACTAGGTTAGTCAATCTGATACTAAAGTGTATGCAGAGACGGACACTGGTCAGCACACTTTTGCTAATCATCCAACTTTCTACAAATATACATGCCTACGTACAAAGTCAGTAACCTTTCGAATCACAGGTTATCAATCCGCCTACTTGTTTTAGTAACTAACATATAGGTCTGTTCCACCTTCTTCACATATACGACGCTAAAATGGATGAGTGCGGAGAATGGCGAAACATGAACACAGAGAGATACTAAAACAGAGGCGATAACGACAGAGATGTGTACAGGTAGAGATAGAAGAAGACAACGAGAGAGAGAGAGAGAGAGAGAGAGAGAGAGAGCGAGAGAGAGAGAGAGAGAGAGAGAGAGAGAGAGAGCTTTATTAATATCCTACCCCAAACAGGGGAAATCCACAGGTCACAGACAGTCTAATATTTCAGGGGGTGGTAGATAGGCTGTACGCAGTCGTGAGACCTAGGCTGCACTATCTCGTGGGACGTAGGTGGGTTGGGATTAGGGCCAGTTCTATGTGTTTTGGAATAATTAAAAGCATCAGAAAGCCAAGAACCAGAGTGTTACCACCCTCTAAAATGTTGGATTATCCTGTGACGTAATGTGGGGTAAGATGTTAATAAAGAACCAGAGAGAGAGAGAGAGAGAGAGAGAGAGAGAGAGAGAGAGAGAGAGAGAGAGGGAAGGGGGGGGATGCGGGAGGTTACACATATATATCGTCAGCATTTGTTATCTGTGCTGCCGAGCTCTTTTGTTTGGCTTCTAGTTTTAAAAACTCCTGGTATATATTATTTCGTTTTGTCATTGCCAGGTAGACTTTCTCTGTGTCGCTATGGAAATTTGAGTGCGTCTCCCTTGGGATAAGGACTTCTTTAGAAACCATCTCCTTTCTTTGTAACATCTCGTCGTACTGTTTCGACACCTTTTCTAAATCGTAGTTCGGGTCAATCTTCAACCGCACCTGCATTGCTTTTGCAGTATCAGCAATCTGCATCCACCCTGCAGCCGCGATGGCATGCTTTCTAGCACGTTCTAAATAAGAAGGCACAAATTCCGATGTGCTGCTTCCAAGCAACTGCATAGCACCAAATACTGGCAGACCTAGAAGTCCAGCGACTCCAACTTTGTTTGCCAAGATTTGTCCTTTCTGGATAATACTGGCTAAAATGCCGGACGCCGAAGCCGCAGTGAAAAACGACGTTACAGCTTTCCAGGTGTCACCTTTGTCTTGATATATTTCAGCTTGTTGATAGTTCATTAGTGCGTTTTTGGTACATCTGAACTGCATTTCATGAAAGAGATGGTAATAAGCTGTTCTGAGTTTGGTATCTGTAGCTTCTGGACGTTCAGAAGCTTGCTTCGGTTCCTCCATGATTTCTGAAGTGGAAAACAAAAAGGCGAAAACTATAAAATTCTAATAATGTAAAAACTGAATTTACCTAGTATATTAAAAATTAGTGTTTCCTGACGTGGAGGGATTACCCCCCCCCCCCTCCCACACAGTTTCCCACACCCCACACTCCCCAACTTCCGCCTCTTTAACGAATGTAAAATAATCATATACAACTGAAGCGTGTTATCAAAAGTACAGAAGACATCAGCACCACATAAACATGTCCTTACATCTAAGCCACACGTCAGTTGAACTAACACTGCCTGACTGTCCTGCAAACAGAACACAATAAAGACACATTTGGCGGAAATGCAGCAACCAACACTGCGAATCTGAAGCGAGGACTAAAGGACAAATGTGCCGTTGAAACTGACAACACAGGGAATGATATCTGAGAATAAACACAAGTAGGAATACACTGTAACTAATGACGTCATTGCATAGAACAAATTATTTAAGTTTCTAATGTAAATTTACCGTAAAATCCGGTATACTTGTGTCAATTTTTGATAAACGCAACCAAAGTTAGGTCACTAAGTTACAGCGCGTTGCAGTGGTCGAAGAACAATGCACGTAGATGCCACTTGTGTAAACTACTATATATAGAAAGGCAGATTAATGCAGAAGTGCAGTCAAACAGAAGTGGAGGGAATCAAGACCAGCAGATATATGGCCCACTTTCTGCAGGTGAGACGTTACTTTTTGGATGTGTAGACAGCCAACTATTGGAGATCTCGTAGGGGTGACTTCTCATCTTACACCCGACCTTGGACACATCAGTCAGGTGTAGGGTGACTACACATCGGACGTGAACTTTGTACCGCTTAACTTAAAGATAAGTTAGTCAATTATTATTTACAATTTCATTTACAAAAAAGTAGCTATAAAAAAAGATGTTTTACTACCTAGTCGATCATCATCATCATCATATTTTCCACTTCTGCCTTTAAGTGTTGTGGGGAGGAACAGTTTGCGATCCATTGCTTGATGATCAGCAATGGCTATTGTCGATATAGAAGCTCTTTAATGTCTTCAATCCATTTTCTTTAAAAAAAGGGGGCGGGGTGATCTCTGAACATGGTGTTCGCCTCGGAGTGATGGAGGTCCGAGATTTAGGCCCTGGTATAGGTTTGAACTGTTTCACGTGGTCTTATTATAATTTCCCCTCGTCTCTGGGTCGTAAGGTCGGATGAGCGTGTGTATTGTTGCGCACGAGAAAAAAAAAAATCCCTGCAGTTGAAAATCAAAAAGACTAACCTAACGGTCTGCGCGGGAAAAAATTGTAATTAAAAATCTACCCAAAGTATTTCAGCATATTGGTCGGTGCTACGGAGTTCGTGCACTGCGCTGATTCTTAAGATTCAGGCTGGAGTTAGAAGTAGTACAGAGCACTTGTGGGTGATTGCCCTTGTGTCATGATGCTGATTCGTTGTATAAACAATAAAACCATAAAACGATAATATCCATCTTCTTTTAGGACGGCATACTGCTTTCGCTTCGGATCTTTTCAGGAGAGCGCCTGCGTTGGTAGTTGTCCTTGCTGCATTCTTGCTAAATGGACAAACCATTTGATCTTCTGTTTCTCAATGAATTTGCTGCATGGTGTTGTTTCTACAGTCTGATAATTATCATTTATAAACTTTCTCTCGGATGGTTAAGTGGGCAGCTTTTCTCATGCATCTCATTTCAAGGGTGTTAATTTTACGTAGGTTGGCCTTCGATAATGTCGAAGTCTGTCACCGACAGTACAGTGTTGGTATGTATATGCTGTTTATAATTTATTTCTTGGCGCTCATACTTATGTTTCGATGTCTTAATAACGGTGTCAATTTGGATATACTTGCACAAGCTCGTTAGCATCTTGTTTCTATTTCCCGATCTATTCTTCCAGTCCTTCGAGAATATACTTCCTAGATATTTAAATGTTAAACTTGCTTCAGACAAGTACCATTCAGTCCGATATGTAGCAGACTATGAAGAACGACCATGGGGTTGAAGATGAATTACTGAGCTAACATTAAGCAAAAACTAATTTTATTGCAGTTTCCCCATGTTCACCCCCATGATATGTAATTGAATTATAGGTATAAACTAGGTATAAGCCATGTATGAGCCATGTTTAATGCACTCACACTTTAGCAAATATCTCGAAACTTCTGTATGGATTAAAACGATTTTTTGTTTTTGTTTTGCATGTGGTCTTAGATTTTCATGTCCTTATGTCTGTATAATTTACAGTTGTTTAGCTGTTGCTATTTTCTTACAGCGGCCAATTTCTTTGAACTTTGTTTGACTAAACATGTCCGTAGCCCTATGAAAATGAATTGATACATATATAGAGACTGGAAATAAATTCACATTTGCAGCAATGCTTGATGATTTGTTCCGAAAGCAATCTACATATGCAGCGATGCTTGATTATTTGTTCGGAAATCAATCCACATGTGCAGCGATGCTTGATGATTGCTTTGGAAATCAGTCAACATATGCAGCGATGAGTGATGATTACTTTGGAAAATCAGTCCACGTGTGCAGCGATGCGTGATGATTTGTTTGAATATAAGTCCACATGTGCAGTGATGCGTGATGATTGGTTTGGAAATCAGTCCACATGCATGATGATTAATTTAATAGCCCATGCCGCATACAATTAAAAAAATCCGCAACTTACGGAAGACTAATGTGAGAGTAAAACGCAAGTGGAACGTGTGTAGTTGAAAGTTTCCCTTACTCAGTTTACTATAGTTACTATAAACATGCTGACAATTAGGTTGCATGCCAAATTTCAAAAGCTGGCACCGAACAGGTTAGTAAGTTACAGACTTTGTAAAGGTGGGCAGCATATTTGGAACGAACTATATCTGTTATTATTTCTCCTCCAAATGGGAATCCAGACGCGAGTTAACTGTTACTGACATAACTAACGCTACTGCCACAGTAAGGGTTGCTTCTGTAAATTTAAAACAGACGGGGAAACCCAACATTGACCAACGTGGTGTTGTGAATTATAGATTCAGAAAATGTCGCATGTCAGGTCGTCGCAATATTTGTGGTTCCCTTATGTGATTAAAATTGATAGCGTGTGCAACTGCTTATTTGTTGGTTACCTCTGCTACCGTTAATTACAAACTGTATTTCTAATGGCGGACTGATTATGTTAGCACTTCTGATGCCAACCGTATGTTTTTAATGCGTGTGTATGCTAGTGTAACAGGGTGGAAACGACAAAGACTACGGTTCAACAGCCTGAAGATCTTGAAAGGGGAAACATCACCATTTATTAGTGTTAGACGATAACACAGGAAAAATCTGCCTCGCTGGGTATAAAATATTTTGTTTAGTCTTGCAGCGACCTATTTGGCTTCCGGACCAACCTGTGGAAGCCTAACCTGGCTACTGATGCTTTGCACAATGGGCTGGTCGGCAGGTATGGCGACCACAGGTAACGTTCGTGGTCTGACTGATTTCGGGTCACGGTACGTTAAGTTCAGTTGGTTAGATGGTATTTGAAATAATTTTCATTTGTATTCTTGCTAAGAGATAGTTGGATGTTAGATGGCTATATATTTGAGATTTCGTTCCAGCACGTTGTCGTTAATGTTGTTATTTGTTGACCACGCTGATGTAATGTTGAGTAAAATAAACTGTTTAATGTGATCATAATTCATTTGCTTGACTTAATTTAGGATCTGTAGCCCGTGGTTGTCTAGGTGTGTGTACCCATGTAGTTAGGTCGACGTCATGTAACGTTATTATGCAGATATCCATAGTTAGGGTCTCGGTGAAATATCTGGGATCTCTGCGGAGAAAAACCCCTGTCTTTTCTTTACTTTTCTGTTTTTGTTGTTTAGCGGGGAACTACTATGACTTTTGTTCTAATCACAATTTTCTCTCCCTTTCTTCTTGTTTTCCCTCCTTCTTTCTTCCTGCTGTTACACTAGTGTCAATGCTGAGGCAACAGTCTATCTATATTTCCACAAGGGACTGTGATGAACATTCTGTGTGTTTTTCTTTGGCACAGGAGCGGAGCAACTATGGGGTGACTTGTTTGCTATGAAACTGAAACTAATATTACCATAACCATTATCAATGTTGAAAAATTATTTCGGCCGCCCAAAGCAAGTTTACACATGTTTTTATAAGAAGGGGATAAAGAGGTATTTACCTTGTTTAAGTGCTTAAATAATAATAAACATAGTGATAATAATAATAATATACATAAATAAATTACATAAGTTTTTTAAGCCTTCAGGCATATTGGGCATATAGAGCTACATCTAAATTGTACAGACCATTCGACACTTGGTGGTTGATGTGGTCAGCATCACGCCGGCGGGTTTTACTTCCCAGGACTGTACCTGGTACCAACTCAAGACCAGGTCAACACACACACACACACATACAAACCGACCCGAACCCACAAACCTCCGATCCGCAGTCGAGCGTCTTGCTGCTGCACCACGGCGGCTCCCAATAATAATATACTCAATAGTTTAAAAAAAAAAGCTTCTATACATGGTGGCGCTTAAAGGCTACCTGCCCACGCACCCTCTCCCCCACCCCCTCCCTTCAAAGTTTCGCCACTCTGTTAAAACAAACAGTCAAAATCTATTTCTTTTAAAAAAAAAAAAAAACCATATCTCATTACAACTAGGATCTAGTAACAAAGCCTCGTAGTAACATTATACAGCCACATTGTTACAAACAGCAAAGAATTGTTTAAATGATGCTATACTATTTTACATTCATTTTCTATTATTGCCTAACAAGCAACAGTGGTAAGTCACCACATTTAGAAACAGAAAGATAATCGTAGGTAACGAAGCAAAATGCTGCCTCACTAGTAACAATACATTGCAAGACAATTGTGGTTGTTCTTCGTTGTATTTATGTACACGTGCTTTGTGTTGATTATTATGTGCGATCAAATGCTAGTTATCTGCACTACAGGGGCTCTTTTTAACTGACATCTATATTTT